TAGCTCAACTCATGATTTCACGGTTTGTGAGATGGAGCCACATGTCAGGCTCCACTCTGAAAGCATAGGGCCTGCTTGAGATTCTCTTTCTCTCTCTCTCTCTCTCTCACTCTCTCTCTCTCTCTTTCTCTCTCTCCCTCTCCCTCTCTCTCTCTCCTTCTTTCTCTGCCCCTCTCCCCTCTCTCAAAATAAATAAACTTTAAAAAAATATATGTGCAGATTAAACAACATACTACTAAACAACTAATGTGTAACTGAAGAAATCAAAAGAACTAAAACAAACAAATCCTGGAGGATGGAAATGGAAATACAACATATAAAATCTACAGGATGCAGTAAAAGCAGTTCTAAAAAGGAAGTTCATAGTGATACAGACCTACCTTAATATATGGAAAATCTCAGTCTAGTTGTACACTAAACAGAACTAAAGAAAGAAGAACAAACAAAGCACAAGGTTAGAAAAAGGAAGGAAATAATAAATATCAGAGCAGAAACAAGTGGAATAAAGACTAAAAGGCAGTAGATAATATCACTGAAAGAGTGAGTTCCTTAAAAAGGTAGACAAAATTGATAAACCTTTAGCTAGACTCATCAACAACAACAAAAAGAAAAGACCCAAATAAATAAAACAGAAATGAAAGAGCACAAGTTACAACTGATACCACAGAAATATAAAGGATCAAAAGAGATTACTATGAACAATGATACACCACCAGACTGGACAACCTAGAAAAGATGAATAAATTCCTGAAACATACAACTTTCCAAGACTGAATCATGATGAAAGAGAAAATTTGAACAGATCAATTACCAGTAAGGAGATTGAATTAATAATCAGACCCCCCATCAAATGAAAGTCCAGGATCCAATGGCTTCACCAGTGTTTTCTACCAAACATTCAAAATTTTAATACATATCCTTCTCACACTCTTCCAAAAAAATTGAAGAGGAATGAATACCTACAAATTTATTTTATAAGGCCAGCATTACCTTAATACAAAAGCCAGACAAGAACACCACAAAAAAGAAAATTATAGGCCAACATCCCCGATGTGCATAAATGCAAAAATCCTCAACAATTATTAGCAAACCCAATTCAATATTAAAAAGATTATGCATAATGACTAAGTGGGATTTATTCCTGGGACACAAGGATGCTTCAACATCTGCAAATTAATCAATACGACATACCACATTAACAAGACAAGGGATAAAAATCATAGGATCATCTCAATAGATGCAGAAAAAAAAAAACATTTGACAAAATTAAATATCCATTTAAAATAAAAATTCTCAATAAAGTGGGTATAGAAGGAACATACCTCAACATATTAAAGGCAATATATGACAAGCCCATAGCTAATATACTCAACAGTGAAAAGCTGTTCCTCTATATCAAGAAAATGACAAAAATTTCCACTTTCACCACTTTTAATCCACACAGCACTGCAAGTCCTAACCTGAGCAATTAGAAAAGAAGAAGGAGGAGGAAGAGAAGAGGAGAAAGGAAGAAGCTAAAGGAGAAAGGAGTGGGGACTGGGGGAGAGAGGGATGGGGGAAGAGGAAGAGGAGGAATAGGTGAAGGAAGATGCATATATTACCCAAAGTAATCTACAGATTTAATGCAATCCCTATTCAAAATTACAATAGCTTTTTTCACAGAAACAGAACACACAATCCTAAAATTTGTATGGAACCACAAAAGATCCCAAATAGCCAAAGCGATATTTGGAAAGAAGAAATAAGCTGGAGGCATCATGCTCCCTGATTTCACAGTATATTATGAAGTTTTAGTAATCAAACAGTATGGTACTGGCATAAAAACAGACCCAGAAGTCAATAGAACAGAATAGAGAGCCCCCAAATAAACCCACGCATATAGTAGCCAATTAATTTACAACAAAGGAGGCAAGAAAATACATTAAAGAAAAGACAAATGGTGTTAGAAAAATTGGGCAGACACAAGAAACAGAATGAAATTAGACTACTATCTTACACCATACACACAAATTAACTCAAAGTGGATTAAAAGACTTGAATGTTAAAGCCTGAAACCATAAAACTCTTAGAAGAAAATACAGGCAGTCAGCTACTTGACATCCATCTTGGTGATGATTTTGTGGTTGTGATTCCTAAGTCAAAAACAAGAAAAGTAAAAATAAACAAGTTGGGACTGTATCAAACTGAAATTTTTCTGTACTGCAAAGAAATCCACAAACAAAATGAAAAGACCACTTACTGAATGTAAGAAAATATTTGAAAATCATATATATGATCAGGGCTTAAATCCAAAATATAACAAATTCATAAAAAACAACAACATAACAAATAATCCAATTTAAAAATGAACAGAGGATATGTACATACATTTTTCCAAAGATGACATACAGATGGCCAACAGGCACCTGAAATATGTCTAATGTAAGTAATCAATGGAAACCAAACCTCAATGAGATATCACCTCACACCTGTCAGAATGGCTAATATCAAAAAGACAAGAAATAAGTGTTGACAAAATGTAGAAAAAAAAGAGTCTTGTGCACTGTTGGTGGGAATATAAATTGGTGGAGCCATTATCGAAGACAGTATGAAGTTTCCTTAAAATATTAAAGATAGGAATAGCATATGATCCAGCAATTTCTCTTCTATTTACCCAAAGAAGACAGAAACACAAATTTGAAGTCACATATGCACCCTCCTTATGTTCATTGAAGCATTATTTGCAATAGCCAAGGTATGGAAATATCCCAAGTTTCCATCAATGGATAAATGAATAAAGAAGTGGTATATATACAATGGAATACTCAATCATTAAAAAGCATTAAATTTGGCCATTTCCAACAACATGGATGGACCTTAAGGGTATTATGCCAAGTAAAATAAGTCAAATAGAAAAAGAAATATACTGTATGATTTCACCTACAGATAGAATCTTAAAAACAAAAGAAATAAACTGATACAGAGAACAGATTGGTGGCTGCAAGAGGGGAGGAAGTTTGGGGGCTGGGAGAAATGGGTGAATTAGGTCAAGAGGTACATACTTCCAGTTATAAAATAAATAAGTCATATAAAATAAATAAATAATGTACAGCATGATGACTATAGTCAATAATACAACGTTGCATATTTGATAGGTGCTGAGAGAGTAAATCTGAAAAGTTTCTCAACACAAGAAAAAAGTTTGTGTGGTGATAGATGTTAACTCGACTTATTATGGTGATCATTACACAATATATACAAATATAAAATCACTGTTGTACACCTGAAACAAATACAATCTTATACATCAATTATATCTCAACTTAAAAAAAGAGGCTCATGGTGATTAGAAATTCTTGTAATAAAGATGTATCTAACTCACACACACACACAAAATAAATAAATAAAAACAACCACAGTAAATATTGCATTTTGTGTAATATTTACAGTAATCCATTTGAATTTTTCATTTTAAAAAGTTGAATTGTTCTATATTTTAAGGTATAATTACTCAAGCACTTAATTACTAAGTGATTCATAAAAGAAGAAATGCCATTGGCCACAAATATTTTAAATGATGCTCAATGAACATTTTCCTTCTCCTTTTTTTAAACTGATGGCTCTGTACTAAGGCAGTTGTTACCTTAAGTATCCCAGATCTGATATAAAATTTATGTTCTGATAGTTGCAAATAAAGATTTCATAAAAATTTAAAATACTGTTTAGGTGGTTTTCCTGAAAAGGTATCACCTTTATCCATTTTATTACAACATAGTATATAAAAGAAAGTGAGGAATGCACAATTATTATGGCATAAGCTTAGCATCTAAAATGTTTCAAGATTGTTTAGAAGAATAAACTTATTGTAGGTCTTTAAAAATACAAATGTGTCTATGTAAAAATATGCAAATATAGACATAACTACCTATAAAATGCTATAGATCTTTGAAATGCACAAATGTAATTTTCACGTTTTAGTCATTTGTTAGAGACCAAAAATGTGCAAAATATGTACTTATTTATGAGGTTTTTTTTGAGAGAGACAAAAGCATACAAGGATGTACAAAACCAGTACTTAGCTATCAAATGAACCTTCTGACAATCCAGCCCGACCATCTCAACCAGACTTGGTTACTTTGGTATTTTTTGAAGTAATTTAGAAAGGAAAAAAAAAGAGATATGATAAATATGATAATATCACTATATTACTAATGTGATACAACCCATTATAGGTGGTAAATTTTATTTGCATTAACTGTTATTTTATTCTATATGGAGAAAGTCATTAGATGTCTAAAAGAACAACTTCTGTTTACGTAGAAATGTATTCTGCAACATATTTGTAAACTTGGAGATTTTCTAAAGTCTCAGGACCTATCTTTTCTAAGGACTATATTATTAGGATGACAATACTGCCACTAAATATTCTAATTTTTATTATATCCATTTAAAATTCATTCAACTATGTAGAGCATGACTTACAGTTAATCACAAACAAGTTGAATTTTTCAACATTATTTTGCATGCAGTATTATTATTTCCAAGTGACTATTTCTTCCATGGCTGATAACTGAGCATTCTAATTATAAAATAGTACCATAATTCGCTGGAATCCATAATAAATAATGTTAAAAGGTCAAAGAATCATACTGGCAATTGGCCATTTTTACACTAGAACAGCAAAGCCTATAGTTTTCAAATACAAAGTATAAGACTTTTCTATACAGGCAACCACATAACCTATCAAAAATCCTGTTTACTCAGTATTTGGCAAGATAAAGCAAAACAAAAAAAGCATCTCATGAAGAGAAACCTGTTAGAGTTGTGTCTCCCACGATATCTTTGCAAGTAAAATATTCTGCTCTGCTGGAGAAGAAACTGGTTTATATTTCCCATCATATGCATGCACAGTTCATCCCCGCTACAGCACAGGTATTCAAAAACAGAGTTCTAGAAGTTCTGAGCTACTGTGAAATATGGAGGTTACTAAAAATAAGATTATATAACACATGTGAACTCACCCTTCTAGTCTTACATCCGGTAGACTTCTGTTAAGGGCAATCAAATCACTGGCCATAAGGTTAAACTGATTGATTTTAAATAGTTCTTTCATTTTCTCCTGGTCATCTTTAGGAATCAGCACAGCCTTTCCCATTTCTCCCGGCCCTTCTTGGTTTCTCGAAATAACAGCTGTAAGACACACACAGGCACACACACACATACAAACACACAGATAATGAACTGAATAAATAAACTCATGTGTTAATTAGAGTCTGATGTCTATTATTTACACACTGGCTTAATAATACAATCATCAAGTCTTTATTGCTTACTTACAACCATATACTATACTAATGAAACAACATATTTTAATTCATTATCTCAGTGCTGCATGCTGTCTTTTAAATCTAGACATATTATAAGAGCTGACTAATCATTAAGACTTGATAGTTAAGCAATACAAACCACCAAAATTTAAAACTTCTCTGTCATAGTTTTTAATATAAACTATTAGAGAAGGGATGAACTTGGACACTAGGCAGACCAAACTGAACAAAATAAAAGAGAACTTTTGAAAATATACCAAGATAAATTTATGTTCACATCCATTTCAATGGTCTGATATCTGACATATCTACTGCCACTACATCTTTATAAAAGCAAGCAACATTGATAATCCTTCATCCCAAATGCAATTTGATTTCTCTGTCAAAGCATTTTCAAAAAATAAGAGAACTTTCACAGTGGTGACATATAATTTCAAATGCCGAGTTAGATTAAGACACAATGTGCTCCATAACTGGAATTTCACAAGATTCTGGGCTTGACTGTGTATGAAGAGAACTCAGGGGACACCTGGTAGCTCAGCAGGTTAATTGTCTGAATTCGGCTCAGGTCATGATCTCACGGTTTGTGAGTTCGAGCCCCCATGTTGGGCTCTGTGCTGACAGCTCGGAGACTGAAGCCTGCTTTGTGTTCTGTGTCTCCCTCTCTCGGTCCCTCCCCATGTACACTCTGTCTCTTTATGTCTCTCAAAAATAAATCAACATTAAAAAGATTATTAAGAGAACTCAGGATCACACATACAGGCTAATGTTCTGGTCATATTTCGCAAGATATCACTACACTAATGTCCCTTCTTGCTCCAAAATGCATGCGTATCAATGTGTGTGTGTGTGTGTGTGTGTGTGTGTGTGTGTGTGTGCGCGCGCGCGCGTGTGCGCACGTGTACATGCATGTGTGTCTGTTTGCACACATATGTATGTATATAAATATGTAATAGAAAAAAGTTCCAGTCAATCCTAATATAACCTCAATTTACTCTTCATAAATGATGTTAAATTAAGTTAAAATGAAAGGAAGGCTGATCTTGACTCTTCCAATATGTTGCCATATTATAGTTTCTAACACCTTAATCTTACTGAAATTAGTTCCCACATTACTTAAATGGGCAAATATTTGGACCCAGACTATCTTAAAAATTATAAAAACTATAAAGGATATAAAGCCTATGAAAATAATTTGGAAATTATAGCCTTTCATAAAAATATAATTCCAAAATAACAGAATAGGTTTGAAATCCAGAACATAAAGAAACATTTGACTTGACATTCATAGATATAGAACATCAAGCTGGATATTATTAGTACTAATATACAGTTGGGCCACCTAGTTTAATATTCTCTTTGAAAGGTTATCCTGACTTTGGAATGTCATGAGTCAGCCTATAAAAGACACTAGGTATCTCCAAGGACCTTCAGATAGGGGTACCAAGAAGGTGATAAGCCTGGAAATCCTCTTATATACAGAAAAATAGTAACAACTGGGAAAATTTTAAATGAAAAAGATCTATGCTTCAACCTCAAACTATTTAAAAAGCTGTCATTTAAAGAAAGTTTATAAAAAGCCTCATTCACTTTATGAAGCAAAAATAGAAATGATGGCAGGAATTTTATGAGGAAGCACATTTTATTCAATTTAAGAAATAAAGTTCTGGGGTGCCTGGGTGGCTCAGTCGGTTAAGCGTCCAACTTCGGCTCAGGTCATGATCTCATGGTTCGTGAGTTCAAGCCCCACCTGCGCCAGGCTGTGTGCTGACAGCTCAGAGCCTGGAGCCTGCTTCAGATTCTGTCTCCCTCTCTCTCTGCCTCTCTCCTACTTGTGCTCTTTCTCTCTCCCTCTCTCTCTCTCTCAAAAATAAATAAAATGAAAAAAAAATTTTAAAGAAAAAAAAGAAATTTCTAACAGTAAAACTTTGCTTTGGGACTTAGTAAGCTTATTATCCCTAAAATCAGATTAAGTTGGTGGAGCTGGTTTTCAGTCAATTTGTGGTCTTTGTGAGATGCTAGACTAGGATTAGTATTGAGGTACCTTCCATTTCTAGGATTTCTTAAGTATTGATTCCACAATACTTATAATTCTCTCAGGAGTCCTAATTTTCAAGTAAAGAACATAATCATAAATATTATTTTTTTGATAATTTTTGACTTTTGGATACACTAAGGAATGATTTTAAAAGCATAAAATATATCAAAACTACAATAGAGAAAACAAAGTGCCCTATTATTTCACTTCCCTGACATAATCACTGTTAATATATTGGTTCGTATCCTTTCCCTCTCTCTCTCTCTGTTGACATAAAGTAGCAAAATATATTACTGTGTCTTTTATTTCGTAATTTTTTTAATGTTTATTTATTATTGAGAGACAGACACAGAGCGTGAGCAGGGGAGGGGTAGAGAGAGGGGGAGACATAGAATCTGAAGTAGGCTCCAGGCTCTGAGCTCTCAGCACAGAGCCCGACATGGGGCTTGAACTCACAAACTGCGAGATCATGACCTGAACCGAAGTCAGTCACTTAACCAACTGAGCCACCCAGGTGCCCCTATTACTGTGCCTTTTCACACACATGGAATAATACTATTAATACTAAAACTTGATTTTTTCAAAGTATTTTTTGCCTTTTGTTCCATGTAGATTGTTCTTCTTCTTCTTAGTGACTATGTTGTATTCCATTCAACCAATCTAAGTTTATTAGGTTGATGGATAATGGGGTTGTTTTTAGTTCTTTACCATTATCAGTGATGCTGCATATTTATAATAACATTGTCATCATTACAAGGAGTAAAAACATCTCTTAAGGTGTTACACACTTTGTTACACAGTTTATAGACATCATTTCATTTAATCCTCAAAGGACAGTGAAATCTAGACATGCTATGTAACTTGCCCAAGGTCACATATCTAGAAAGTAATGGAATGGTAATTTCAACTCAGGTCTGTCTGATTCGGGAGCCAAAGCTCAACACTCACTCAGCAAATACTTCTGTACATACATTGTTGTATGTTTGTGTTAGTATGCATGCATGGTGCATTTATAAATAAAATTGCTGAGCCAAAGGATATGCAATATTTGGACTTAAACATGTATTTTCAAACTGACTTCCAAAAAAGTTTTTCCAGTTGGCAATCCCAGTTACAGAAAAATCAGAGCACTGCTTTCTCCATACTGTTGCCAGCACTGTGTAGTATCTATTGTCTTTTCCCCCAATATGATAGGCAAAATATTATATCTTAGTGTTGTTTCAATTTGCATTTCTTTAATAATTCACTGTTTTTGTAATAAAATGTGTATATTTAAATATCATTGTTGTCATCAGCTGTTAGATTATAGCTCATATACGGCCTATCATCTCTGCTTTAGAGAAAGGGCATAAGATTCTCCAAAAAAAAGTGTTTTTTTTAAATTTTTCAGTGTAATGCATTGAATACAATATAATACATTATTTTCTTTATCATAATATATATCCAAAGTCTTTGTTTTGTTTCTACCCCTAATACGTTTGGAATTCATTTCTGGCTTAAATATAACTAGGTGCCATTCTACCAGCAAGTTCCAGTTATTCAATTCTATAAGGTAAGGTAACTGACAAGAGAAGAATGAGCATGCACCATTTAAAATTGACTTTTTCTCATAAAAATGATGGCAGTTATGGGAAGAGAGAAGACTTTTTAAACAGTAACATGATATAAATAAATACACACATACACACATGATATTTTAAAAACAGAGTAGAGGGGCACCAGGGTGGCTCAGTCGGTTTAGCATCCAACTTTGACTCAGGTCATGATCTCATGGCTCATGAGTTTGAGCCCACATCAGGCTCTGTGTTGACAGCTCAGAGCTTGGAGCCTGCTTGGGATTCTGTGTCTTCCTCTCTCTCTGCCCCTCGCCTACTCATGCTCTGTCTCTCTCTCCAAAATAAATAAACATTAAAAAAAATTAAAAATATATAAAAAAATAAAAACAGAGCAGAGAGCTCAAGGGAAAAACAGAAAAATAACATTAAAAGAATCGCTGTTCAAAATAATTCCGTTAAATAAAATTTTGAAAATTCTTCAGAAAATAAAAAAGTGATTTAAAAATTTGAGGTTAAGAATTTCTAGAAATTAAGAAAGCAATTTACAGTTCTTTTAAATGCCCTCTATGTACTTCAACAAAGGTTTATCCCATTGCAGAAAAATGTACCAGGGTCAACATAATGCTCCACGTGTAGGAAGCTAGCAGGGTTAACATTTATTCTATGTGGAAAAGACATGGCACTCAGCTACATCTTAGGGCATGAAGATCAAGTTAAGACACACAAAAGTATTTGGGTTTTGCAGTTTATTCAAAGGGGTAGCCATTTGCTTGGCTTAGCACTCTGAGGATGACAGTTTTATCAATGGTAGTTAGAGTAAGTGTGATCGTGTTATGGAATTATCATCAATAAAAACAAAATTGTCATAAAGAGTATCCTTATACGTAAAACCAGTTAGCAAGCACATATAATCATTTTCCTTAATTATCCTCATTTTCTTAGCGGAGAATAGAAACAACTTAATGTGTATCGGGTTAAATGTCTCCTCCCTAAAGTTAAACATTTTTCTATAATAGCGTCTAATGAATGCATAGTTGACATTTTATAAATTTTTTTTTTCTTTTCCACGAGCAGACCTACTGGTGTGTTTCACCTCATTTAAGCAAAAATAATGCTAAGTAATTACAATGTCGAACTAGCCTTTTTGTTTTTCTGGGTCTTACTTGGAAGAATGCATCTTGCTAGGAAAAAGAAAAACAGAATTTTTTCTTCAAATAGTGTAAATAGGAAATGGGAAAGATTATGCAATTGAGTATGAGGCTGGTCTGC